TCTTCGAGCGACTTCAACTCCTCCTTCTGGTCATCGCTTAGCCAGGTCAGGTATTTGTGGAGAGCTTCTTCCAAAGTAACGGGATGGGGTTCGTCTCTGCGAGTTCGACTAGGAGCCATAGACTTTCTTACATGCTGCCGTGAAACGTTTCGCTTTTGCTTTCTTTTCGGGATCCGTCATTTCTTCAACCATCTCCTCGATTTTCTGCGAGATCGCCTCGTTGGGTCGCGCCGCTGTCTTTCATCTCCTTGAGAACCTTCACTTTGTCCTCACCCATCAGTTCCTTTCCATAGTGCTTACAAGCCGCTTTCAGCTCCTCACTAGCCTTGGCTTTCACTTCCCCACTTGAAGCCTCGAACATCGTCATGATCTCTTTGTAGAACGCTTCTCGATCACCACTCTCATACGTTGCTTTGACCTTCTGCTTCTGATCGTCGGTCAACCACGTCAGGAACTTTTGCATGCCTTCCTCGATGTCATGCGTATGCTCATCTCGTCGTCTTCGGGTACTCTAAACATTGACTTTGAGTTGGTGTACAGAATAACAGGCCTATAATGCGTTCCTACCTCATCCAGCTCCCAAACACCGTAGCACACTTCACGCACGTGCTCAACCGTGTGTTTCTGGTCTTCAGTGAGCCGATCCTCAAGCTCTGCGATCTTCTTTTTCAACTCTCCGAAATCTTTTCGTCTCATGCATCTTTTTGATGCTTTCCATTTCTTCCGGTGTGGCGACCTCTTTGACCCAAGCGGAGCACTGGTCCTAAAACTTTGGATAAAAGTGTAGTAACCTCACATGCCGCACAGGTACCTGCCGGATTGCTGCAACAACTAAATACCTTGAAATTAGCCTTCAATTCGGCTTTCTTCTCTTCAGGCAGGAGACCGAAGAATTCTTTCACTTTTGCGATGACGTTGTCAAAATGAGATCCACTTTGCTCGATTCCCTGGAATCACAGTTTCAAAACACTGTAATGAAGTTTTGCTTTAATCTGATTTCACTCAATTGAACGTACAAAGAACGCTTACCTGGTCGCTCATTGGAAATTAAAGTATAAGTGTGAAAGGCAGCGATTACGATAGGTTCAAGAAGGGTTCAGAGCAGGGTCAGTCCTATCGTTGTTACTTTTTCAAAAATTTTTACGACCCCCCTCCCCCAAGGTGGACTTGATACGACCCCCTTTTCGACACCTCGACCACCATCATCGTCCCTATAGTATTTAATTCTGATACCACTCAACCCACCAAACTCCGCCCACTTTTCCTCAAGAATGCCGTCTGAGCGGGGGGGGGGTAGTTACCTATAACCTCCACGGCTTCATTTTCTAGGGGCGGGGGGCGGAGGAAGGGGAGGGGGGTATATAGCCCGCTCAAACTCGAATTTCTCTCGCCAAGCTCGCCCAGCCTACTACTCTTGAAAACTCCACTTTGACCACAAACTCACATGTAATTTCACGCGACTGAAGCGGATACGACCCCCGCCCTCCTATAAACTCAACCAGGTACGACCCCCGTTGTTACCAGTAACAACGTAGGATTGACCCTGCTTCAGAGGAGCGTGGTATATGCACAATGGTACGCTAGTGGCGGAAATAAAGCGGTGAAATCCGTTCAGAACATCCAAACCGGGTCTGGACCCCCCTTTTTGACCCGTTGGTTTTCATCAAAGAACAGAGCGAACAGTTCAGAACAAGCGGACATGTGAACGAGTTTGTCGCAATACGTTATGGACCACACAAACCTAACGCTCCAGTCAATTTGCTCCAGTTGTGCCCGCTGCTGAACAACACGCGCTCCGCTCAAATCACCAAGTAAACTAGTGGGCGGATCGCTTTTGGGCGGAGTGCTTCCGAAGTCCTGCTCAGCAACCAGCGCACCTTTCGTCGTGGAAAGCGCCACATCTCGCTTCCCTGGCAGCCAAGTAACTGATTCGTGTGGTGCATATGCTTCCCCGATGCGTTCCGTCCTTATCGTAATCGCTGCCTTTAAGGTGGAACGCCTGCAATCTAGGCTAAGCTTAGTAGTGAGGATCCCGTACCCACACGACGAACGCATTCAATGGGGGGGGGGGGGGGCGCCTTGTTTAGCCGCTTTCCCAAACAGAAAAAGCTGCGGCGCCGCCAGAGGACAGGACAACCCTTGACTATTGCAACCAGTCGAGGCGGGGCACATCCAACGGTGCAATCCTGTTGGAAATCGTTACGAGGCGGGAATACCGGCAAGAATCCTAACAAGTCTCATTGCCCGTTAAAGTCTAGCTTTCCTATATAGAAGACAAATTCCTCTTAATAATCCTTTCGATCCACCTACCTCCAGCTCACTCTTCTGATCAGGAGTCAGCCAGTCGAGGAACTTGTCAATAGCATACATGTAGATGACGTCGACGTCTCGCAGCCAAGTGACGACGGTGATGATGGCCATGATGTTCGTGATCTCCGTACCAGATTTTCTCGCAGAACGGAAGATTTTTGAGCACTTCTTCCTACAATTCAAGATTTATTCCATAAGGACATTAACAAATAAACTTTGATTGATCCATCTTTTTCTGCACAATAACACAGACAGGAAGCCCGCGTCGCGTGGCGAGAAGGAGAGACCAGATGTCAGGGTCAGTAACGAGCGTCCGCGCGTGCTGTACGATATGGACGTATTGTGGGCATTCTAGTCGTAACTTCACCCTAAATTGCTGCAGTTGCATACTCGCCGGCCTGACCCCGTCTGCGTCTCTGCTCTTCTCGGCCGCGCGAACTCGGTAACTTCGCAAGATGAGTTAGGACGCAAGTTAAGCGGCGATCGTATGACGCCATGCGACCTATATCCCCTAAAATTGAAAAGGCTGACCTTCTTTGTTGCCGGCAGTCGTTCGATGAATTCGCGTACTTTTCTTGCATCCATCGTGATCTGTCTCATGCATTTATGAAGAGCAGCTATCTCTTCCTCTGTAGCAACGTCATCCATCCATTTGTAGCATTCCTTAATGTGACTTTATTTCGAGTGCTCCAGGCCTAAGCATTACTGTGAATCTATGAAGAAAACTCAGAGTAAAACCAAACACGCTTTCCAGTTGTCAATCGCGGGGAACTTTGCGCTGTAGAAATCCCGCGCTATCGCAAGATACGGGGCCATTCGTTGTGGCACGTGCGCGCTACAACCGCTCAAACACTTCATGTTTTTGTTTTGAAAAGGAGGGCTCAGCCATAATGGCAGGGAGGAGCACAGGCTCCAGGATGTGTGAGCCATTTTCGTTTTCCCTCACTTCCTGCCCCTTCAAGGCCTTAGCCCCAAAGGATGTCCGTATAATTGCGATTAGCACTAGAACTCCTAGGTTTGCGTACCGCGCTGTTCCCTTGAGAAGGGTTGAAAAGACACCGGTTGTCGGTTCAGAACAGAACTGAATTAGAGTTCCGAAACTAGACACTTTGAAGTTATATCAAATTATGCATTGATGAAGAGATGAGCGTAAAGCTACAGTGATATATTTGTTTTTCCTCAGCGTTTACGCAATCAGAATTGATGGACGTTGATAGGTCCCTGTCAGTTTGTCATGGTGGGTCAATTGGAACCCCTGGTGCTTCGGATCGTTTTGGTCTAGTGTGCCAAAACTTACGAATCCCCACCCGCTTTGATGGCTGACCGACCTGTCACCGGGAGACCATGGGTTACCCATTCAGGCAAAACCGCCTCGAAGGGCGTTTCACGATTGAACTAGTGTAGACTAATGCGTCCAAAAATGAAAATTGATGGGATTATTTGAATCGTCAAAGAGGAAAATGAAAACTGCAATGAACTCTATCGCGGGTTATATGGCCATACAGCGGACTGAGCTCGTCTCATTTCTGGCTCTCTGATACGGTAATTTCACGAAAGAAATAGTACTGACCAGATGAGAAGCAACGCCAGTGATCCGGCGGTACCACCCTTACGATAATATGCAGATATGCTTTCAAGAGTTCCTAGCAAGTTTACTCGACTTTGTTATCCTTGACCGACCAGAATAACGCGTTCACTTTTGTTCTGATAGACAATAATCAGGTACCCGACAGGAGGCCCGCGCGCGCAAGAAGGGCAGAAGTCAGCGGACGCGTTGCAGCGTTACGTGAGGATATTTGTTGTAGTGTCGCGTCAAGTTGCACACAAGTGTACCAAAATGCACATCCTACATGCCACACACGCTGCTACTCGCCCGCTGACTCTGCCTTTTTGCCGCGCAACGGGCCTGCGGTCTGGTACCCGACAATCCATATCTTGCCAATCGCAGAATGTGCCCCTAATATTACGCCTATGTCAGAGCCATATAATGTGACAGCGCGATAACGAACTATGTGACCCAGAAGAGAGCAGAAACATAAAATGGGACAGCAACATACCCTCCCCTTCAAAAAGCGAGAAAGTGTCGGGTGCAGACCATGCACCACAAGTGACGACGGCCTTCACAAAATGTTAATGTTTTCTGCCAATGAAATGATTAGCCTGTTGCAGTTGTATTCTATCGATTGTCACTAATTACAACTATCATTTACCAGAAATCAGCTATCACTATGAACAACTTCTAACCAGATTTACTTGGAGGCCGTCGTCAGTTGTGGTGTTTGGTCTGCACCCGACACTTTCTCGCTTTTTGAAGGGGGTATGATGCCTTCACATTTACACATCACGGCCACGTGGATTCGATAGCGAATCCACGAATTGCAAAGTTTGACACGGTCGTTGTGCAAACGCTTCCCGCACCTGAGTGAGCCGTGGCATGTCGCTTGAACGCCCCCCCCCCTCTTAAGCGTCCTACAGCGTCTAATTATTTGTGTTTGCGAGATTACATCGTAACGTCCATGGAAGGCGTGTAGCCGTCCTCTTTAATTATTTCCTCAGTTTCTCCTTATGGTGTATCAAGGCGGGCTTCAGACGTGGCAGGCTGCGCTATAAACGCACCGCTCAGTTTCTGAATCGCCCGACTGATGGCCCACACCCTGGGGCACTCTGTGGTTGTTCTCTTCCTGGCTGTAACACAGGCCAATTGTTTAGGGCACTCCATCTATTGTATATGATTAGTAAGAAGTCAACCTTTCGCGTCTGCTCTTTTGCGGCCGCACCTGCAGGACCTTCTAGTTCGCTCAAGTATTCGAATATCTTAGCACGAATTTCCGCTTGTGGCTTACCATCGGCATACATTTGCTTCACTTTCTGAAATCATTTGCATTCTACTGGAGGCTGGCTATGGTCGCTTTAACGTGAACATGCATGATTCAAAAGCCTGCCGAACCGTTTTCTGATCCGCCGTCATCCATGAGAGTCGTTTATTGATCTTCTCATCGATATCCCTCTTCGTCCTCGTTTTTTTAGCAAGCATTTCCGCGCATGGCTGTAAAACAGTCTTTTGAGTACCATAAAAATGCAGTCGTTCAAAAGTGAAAGTGGAGGTGGCGAAGTGGGACGGGAGGTGAAGGAAATAACAAAAGTAAGTATCGAAGACGCGACAACTGATGACCCACTTTTCACAGAAACGATTTGTTAGATGGTTTCCTAGTCTTCCACCGTAAGCGCGTTCGCGGTGGGGCCCGCACTGCCACATGTTATCGATTTGTTTTCGTCGTTTTCTCTGCGCCCTCCACGACGAGAGCCACGACGAGAATGTGGTCGTCAACTGCACGGCGCCATCGCTGTAGAAGCGGAGTAGGGCAAGGCATCGTTCTACTGCCACCAGCGCTATAGGTACGCGTTATAGGACGCGCTCAGAGTCCCGCCTGGGTCGCGCTTGAATGGCGGATACGGAGCCAGTCAGGGAGCCGTGCGGAAAAGCATGGCCCTCCGGTTTGGTCGCGAGAAAGGTGTTATACATGGCCCCAGGCGATAGGTCGCGATCGAAGGGCGGTGTGTACGACACGCCATCGTCCGGACTGCGCGCCGCCAAGTGCAACGTGGTTAGCGGTGGAAGTTAGGCGAACCTTCCTGAAATCGTTCTTGGTCTCACTTTTCGCACATTAGGCCGTGGGCACGGGACAGAGTATCTGAAAGAGCTGTGTGCGGAGAGCATCCTTGACGAGGTGGGCGCAGGTATGCCCCAGTGAAGCGATCAGAGCCTCGCAGTTGGGCAAACAATCGGTAGTATATGCTACAGGCCTAGCATTGTTGTCCTCCCCATTTCAAAGGAGGCGGCGATCTGTGACGTTTCCGCGAACAGCTTGCTATCCTTCTGTCGAAGCGGTTGCAGCAATTGGGATGCATGTTCTCACCCACCCCTCCTTCCTCCTAGGATGTGTCACGCCGGAGCCACACTCCTATGGCCTGTGTTATCATAGACTTCGAATCAGTATCTAGAAAGAGATCATCCAATTTCGTAACCTTCGAAAGTGACCGCACATGCAGCGAGTACAGTTAATGGTCAATGAGACTGCGGCTCCATCATATTAGGCTCGTTTTGTATGACCTTCATTCATTCCTGAGTACGGTACCTCCCTTGTCTCCAGTAACTGCATTAGAAATCTCATGAAACCTTCCCTTCAGTGAATTGACGAAAAACTTGCTATACCTGGCACTGTCCTTTGTAGCTTTCTCTGACTGACTGTTGTCGTTCTTCAGGAAGCGTATCGAAATACTCGTATGTCTTTTGGCGAAGTTCTTCGAACGATTTACCAGAATCCCTCATGTCGCTCATCTTAATTGACGGCAATTATTGATTGATAGAATTTAGGTCAGACAAATAGAATTTATTTACACCTACCATCATTGAAGGAGTGTTCACCCAAACCTGGTCCGCCGTCCTTTCCTGAGGCGGATGCGAGACAGCCGATGCTATTTAAGTCGTGGCCCAACTAACAATCTTCAAGCATTGCCCGAAGGTAAAATCATTATAGGTGGCAGTGCGGCATGACAATCTAGCCTGTCCTCTGCCCGGCATTCGTGGCCTTGGACTAGGGGTCGTGGGAAGGCGAGCACTTGCGGTGTCGCGAGACTTTTAATCGTGAAGTGAAGTGGCACGACAAGCCTAACAGCCTGGAGAGTGGGTGGATCCAATTCGAGGGCACAGGCTGAGACACGCGCTTGGATTGTGCATCGTGAAATGGAGAGGGGTGTATCCGAGAATTCTCCTGAGATTAAGGCTACCGTCAGATAAAGACACCACTGTACCAGTTGTCTCGCAGTTGTCACTATAGCGGGACAGCCTTTAAAATCACACCGAGGAAGCGCCACAAGATTACGGCGGAGGCGAATCCAGTTATGGCTAGAATGTAAGAAGAAGGCATAAGAATACGGCCTCAGACCCTCAAGGATGGCCCGTTTTCTTACTCGCTGATACCGTACTGATGCCACCCTCATTGGTGGAAACCTCTACAACGCTTACACACTCTCTGCTCAACGGCTGCAGGCTCAGACGGCGAGAGTGGGCGTATCGCGCTAATAGCGCCGCGGGGAGCCATGGCTCCAGATGCGCGGGACCAGATATCCTTCGCGACATGGCGTGTCGATACGCCTCCGCACCCTTGGGGTTCCGCCTGTCTTCCTAAGAGATAGGCTTACCCTTCTTCGAGCTTCGACCTTATCGCGGTGTCCCTTTAGGCATAAGCCAGTGTATAATAATGATCTTAAGTCCAATAAGAAAGGAAGTAAGGTAGGATAGGATTAATTGAGGTTGAAATTAGGAAACATAGTAGTTCGTTTCGCCTCCACTCAGACGAACCACTATGTTTTCATCAACAGGTCTGACCTGAGCTTAAGCCTAATCGCAGGCTTCAATAATCAGGCAGCTCTAATGACCTGACCTAGGAGAAGAACTGACCATTTCCCTTGAAAGAGTTGAATGTACCAATTGCCACACACGGCATGCCCAGATGTGACGCCTGCACCTCCTGCTTCTCCCTCCTTGCCCAATTTCATCAGAGCGGGCAAGCGGTTCCCGTACCGCATCCCGGTAACCGTATTAGCAGAAGCGCCGGATCCTCTACAGCTTAACTCCCAGCGATTTCCGATTTTTTTTATTTGAGTAACGCTTCTGCACTTTCCATCACCCACAATTTCTCTCTAATTGTTAGCATACATTATACGAAGTTATACGATTACCGACCTTCGCTGATCATCAGTCATCCAATTGGTGAACTTTTCGAAGTGCTTGTGGAAAACATGGCGTGTGGTGGGGACACTTCTCAGAAGTCTGTTGCATTCCTGAAGTAATTTGAGATGAACTACAACCTATTCTCAAATTTACTCACAGACTCACGTTCCAGTATCCATCTTTTTCTTGAGCATCTCTAGAGAGACGCACTTTGTAGGTCTCGATCTGAAATGGTTTCATTAACATTTTTCCTGTCCCTTTCAGCCTGCACACCCTACTGTAGTAAAACCCACTTTTGTAACAAGGTTCTCATTGTCACCGCTTCGCTCGATTTCTCTGAGCTCATCAACTTCTTCATCCGTGGCGACCTGAAAAAGTCAATTTTATGCGCTATCGCGAGGTACGGGGGCATCCTCCAGGCTAAGCCTAGGAGGGGCAGGAACATAGGGGAAAACGAAAATTGCTCATGCAGTGCTTGGAGTCTCCTGCCCCGCCTAAGGCTTAGTCCCGATTTAATGAAAAGGAGATATGTTACGCCATTTTAAAGGAGGAATTCACGATAAGAACGAAGGTCAAAGAAGGGGAAAATTGCATAGTTGGGAGACAGGCGGACCTCCTGAGGGTGCTGACCGACGCGCAATTGGCAGCGAAAGATTTGACCTCGGCGATCTAGCATGGCTCACTCTTGGCGCGGTTGGCGGGGTACGCCCACCGACTATCTAATCACTCGCCGCAGGTCTATACGTGGCGAGTGATTAGATAGCAGAGAGAGCGTAGTGTTGAAGAGGGCACAGCGATGAGAGTCGCATCAATGCGCAAATCAACGGGCAAGGAAGGGGTCCCATTTCTCGGGTTTCGGGCCGTTTCAAATGGTTTCTTCTTCATCCCTGCTCCACTGACCACCTCTACCCTTATTTCCAATGAGCTAACTTTTCATCGTAAATTCTGCCTTTAATGCATTGCTATCACAATGCCCCCGTACCTTGCGATAGCGAACAATTTTGTACTCTAATCTTGCACGGCCGCATTCTCGCCATCGTTCCACGGGTAATGACCATTTATAGGGAAGGTGCAAATTACTGGAACTACGCACGTTCCCGAAATTTGGAACTTGCTTGGGAATAGTGGGACCTATCTGAACGAGCCAAATGTAGAAGATCACCCACTTTCGTCACCCGAGCCGTTTTCAAAGCATTTTGCTACTGTTTCCTCAACAATTGAACCGTTCAGTTTGCAAAGTGATCAAAAACCAAAAACCATTGGACCCTTCGAAGACGGTCCTTTTTTCAATGAAGTACTGCGATTCGAAGCTCGCAAAAGCCACTCGGGATTCCAGAATTACGGGCTGCTCATAGCACGGTTCAAGATAAACTTGAAGACACCTCCTCTGCGCCGCGAACAGTGCGTTCCCCGAGCAATCGAGGCCCTCCATCAAAGCTGGTTGAATGAGATCTGGACGTAATCATTGGGATTCGTTCATTATTGAGCAGTGAAGTGCTGTTCGCATACTTCACTTGAACT